TTCTGACAACCAGTCCTCCTTGACCATCAGATGATTTAAACAGTTAACAGCCCAACCTAATGAAGGACCCCATTTGCAGGGTGGAGAAAGAAAGGGGACTCTGGAGGTGACAAAGGTCCAATCCTTCTGGAAGAACATGGTGCCCACTGCAGAGTGTGTAGGGAGTGACAGTAGGGCCTGGCCCACCCCCACACACCCCCAGAGGCTTGGCTCCAAGTGTCAGGGAGGAGCAGGGACATGGTGACAGCAGGAAATGGAGAGGGCTTACACCTGCCTGGGGACAGAGTACTTTCTGGGACCAGGTTGGCCCTGTAAGGGAATTCCTAAACTACTGAGGAAGTAAATGAGGGGACGGCGTGGTGGGCAAGGCAAACAGGAACCTGAGTGATTCTACAACAGACCAGAACAGCCTGTGACCAGGTCCCCTCACAAGACACAGCTGGCTGGGGGGCACATAGCCTGCCCAAGAGGAGGTGTGGGAGAGAAACACAGGACAGGATCTTGTGCCCACATTACTAGCTGTGTGGCCCTGTCTGGAACACTGAACCACTCTGGGCCTCCCTCCTCATCTATATGATGAGCAGCTCAAAAGCCATCATCTCTACAGTCCCCTCCAGGGCCAATTCCAGGGCACATGGGAACACTGACGGGGGCGTCGAGAGATCGCTTCCACACTCATTCTTTCAGCAAATGTTTACTGACCACTGCTTCACGCCAGGCACTGTGCTAGGTGCCCTTCCTCCACCCCATCTAACACTGAGCGGACAAACAGGAGAGGTAGCAACATTATCTTCTAGGTGCAAAGCCCTGCAAAGGCTAATTAAAGTTGCCAGTACAATTGAGGCTCCACTGACTGACCACCCCCCTGTGGGCTATTTTGCTGCTGTGCCTGTCAGCAGTCGTGACCCGACATCATGCACCCCTGATCCCAGGTGGGACTCAGGCTGCTGGGAGGGCCCTTATCAGTGGGCTGGAAAGGGAGGGAAAATGGCGACCAAGGGCTCAGGTGTCAGCCAGACTCACCTTCACGCAGGAGTAGATCACGGACACAAAGACTACCAAGGTCAGCAGCACAAAACAGGTCAGGTAGAAGCTCAACATGAACACGGAGCTGGAAGAAGAGAGGAGGTGGGGAATTATGGGTGGACCGGGTTCAAAGATGACAGGGATGAAGATGTCATGTCCGGGTGGCAGGGCGGCAGCTTCTCCAGGGCCTGGCCTAGCAAGCAGGCTGCAGGTTCTGAGTGCCTGTCTTCACAGCTCTGGAGGGCTGTGGCTCTGAGAGCCCAAGCAAAGGAAGCAGAAGTTGCTCCATTTCCCCTGCACCCACCGCCCAGGCTCTTCTAGCCCCTGACTCACTGAGACAGGCTCACTCAGCCTTGGGAACGGATTCAAGACCCTCCTGCATGGCAGCCTGGCTCCGGCCCTTCCCACCTTCCTGCTGCTTCCTGAGGGAACAGCAGCCTGCAGGGTACCAAATGGAGAACCAGGTGACACCTGCTCAATATTTTGCCGAATTCTTAGCTATCCAGACTCTCTTCATTTAGGTTGGAAGGACCCATTTTAAAAATCACCTGGTTATTCCCTCCAAGTAGCCACTCATGGCTTGGTAAGTGACTATGAAGGCTGAAAACTGATTTGATAAACAGTCATCATTTATAGAAATGCATTTGTCAGCGGCCCAACCAGCCACTCTGAGAAACAGCAGTGATGTGTCCCTTTGGAGGGCAGTCCTTATACCCTGTCCCCTTCCTACTGTCAGACCCCAAAATGAGTCCTGCTGTTTTTGTTCTCCTATTCCTAATCAGTTCAACAACAACAAAAATTCAAGGGTCTCTTGCTGTCCTTCCTTTCAGAGACAGATCACAGGTGATCTTAACATCTACCATGGGCCAGGATTCTTAGACAAAAGAGCTGCAAGTGAATGTCCATCTGGAACCTTCTACTGGCCCTCCTGGGTCAGGGGCTGGCCCCACCATATCACCCCACCTTTCCAGGAATGAGAGTAACCTGGAGATGCCAGGCATTGTTGGCTGGTTAAAGGCAAGTGAAGGACTTGAGAAGGCAGGGGACACCTGTAGGGATGCATTCAAATGGGGGCTTTGTTCCAGGCTCCCCCAGAAGCTACCACTTAGCTGCCTTAAACAAATAGAACAAGGAGAGAGAACTCTCTTCAGAAGGAAATAAGGACCTTTAAAGTAGTAGCTTTTAAGGCTTCCCTAGAGAAAGGAGGGCTAGCAAATGACCTCCTCGTCAATGCCTTAGCAACTCCTCAATGCCTTAGCAACTGGGAGCGGTGGCCTGAGGAGGGAGTGAAGCAGCTAGAGGCAGAGCAGGGAAGTGGGATTACCCAGTCCCGACGCCATGCTGCAGAAAAAGAAAAGTTAAGGGGACTGACAGTTGCATGGGACAGAAAACCTAGGTTGCTCATTTATACCTGTAGCTCCACTTCAATACAGGAAAATGGGGTCCTATGCCAATAAGAACCCACAATCCCACCGGGTCTGGATGGCGTCCATGCAGAGACAATGGTCACTGGCTGCATAACCAGGGTGCAGCTGGATGCTAGTGTCTGGTTTTCACATGTGGTATCCTGACAGAGTCACAGCAGATACAAATGTAAGAGACATCTCTTCAACAACAAATGTCATTAAAAATAAAAGGCACTGAGTAATAAGACCTGTCAACACCAGGTACCTCCAGATATGATGCACTGAGGACATAACATCACTTCTGTGGGATTCTTGTCCAAAACGCATAATCTCAATCAAATCATGAGAAAATATCAGACAAACCAAATGGAGGCATTCTACAAATTAACTGGTCAGTACTCATCAAAAGTGCCAAGGCCATGAAAGACAAGTAAAGGCTGAGGAGTGTCACAGATGAGAGGGGACTAAGGAGATACAACAGTTACACGCAATGTGAGATGCTGGACTGGCCGCTGAACCACAGAAAGGCCATTCAGGGAAACACTGATGACATTAGAAACGGTCTGTAGATTAGTTAATAGCATCATTCCAGTGTCAATTTCCTGGGTTTGTCTATGGTATTACGGTTATGTAAATTGTCGGCATTATGGAAAACTGGATGAAGGAGGCAGAGAAACTACAGTACTTTTGTAACCTTTCTGGTGTAAGTCTGCAATTATTTCAAAATGAAAAACAGAAATTATTGGGGTGATTTCCTTCTAGATTAGGCTTCTGAGACATAACCAAATGCAACCAGTGGGTCTTGAGTAGATCCTGGCTGGCTATGAATAAACTAAGACTAGAAGCCATTTTGGAAATTTGAACAGGGACTTGATATTAGAGGATTGTAGAGAACTGGTGCTAACTTTGTTTGGTATGTAAGGCATTGTGAGTAAGAAGAAAAACGCCCTTAAAATGCTGTATATTGAGGTTTTTAGGGGCAAAATGTCCTTGTGTCTAAAATTTACTTTAAAAAAATCAGAAAAAAAGCAAAATATTAACAATTGTTATATCTAGGGGATGGGTATTGATTATATTACTTTTTGTATGTTTGAAATATTGCATAAGAAGTAAAAAATATGTATACATGCACATATATATGTATGTAGTCACACATGTACACAAGTGGAGCAGTTATATTCCTCACCTAGGCACAACTGTGAATGACTAGCTAACAAATACTTCATTTCCAAAAGCCCACTGCCCACTGAGAGTGGTCCCCTAGGATGCCACAGGCATTTTAGCGACACGGTCAGTTCTCAGAAGAGTTCAGGAGCACCTCTTTGAGAAAGGCCTTCAGAACATGAAATTCATTCTTTGAAATATCCAGAGTAGCAGAAAACCTTTCTCTTTTGAAGATGTATTGATTTCTTCTGTGTAAGAACCAAAGGTCATGCAGAAACAAGCATGGTGAAGACTTTGGGTGATTCAATGTGTGCCCGTGATGTGGGTCCAAATGGGCTGAGATGATGGAGTGGTGAGAAGTCTCCCACGCAGTTAGGCAGTGCCCAGAGAGAAGCTGCCACCCTGGACTGAGCACACAGCCTCTCCGTCACAGAGGAGTCAGACTCCTGACTTCTCGACCCCACCAAGAACACGTTTAGAAACTTCTCTCCCTGCTGAGCAAGTTCAGCCCAGACTCCCGCCTCTGCTCTCCTACAAAACCTCCCCTCCCACCCCTGGAGCCCCTGGGGCCGGGAGGATGGGTACTTACTGGGGCACGATGGTGATCTGGACAAAGCAGATGAAGAGGAAGACGAGCGAGGCACACCCCACGTAGGCACCGAATCGGTCATCCACCTGCTTGGAGTACTGAGAGGACACGGGCAGGGTGAGTGCGGGGAGGCACCAGCCCTGTCTGCCCCAGCCCCTCCTCCATCCCAGGCACACCCAGGGCAGCCCACTCCCAGGACGCGGAAGACCCGCTAACCAGCGCTGGCCTTAGCTCTTGAGAAACCAGTCCTAATCACCATGAGGTGATGCCTGTGGGGAGAGTGGTTGAATTGCATCAAACCAGAAACTTTCTGCAGACCGGATCCCTGGGAGGAGTAATTCATGATAATCGTGGCTGAATTTCCTGAGCACCATCTACATGTTAGGACACGCGCTGAGTTCTATAAGCACCATCACAAGTGCCCCCAGGAAGTGGACACTAGGCCCGCTGTTATTTCTACTTCAGAGATGAGTGAGCTGGGGCTCAGAGAGGTCACAAGACTTGTCCAAAGTCACAGCTCATCTCCAAGGTCCTGACTCTTAGCCCTTGCTCCTCCCATAGTACCAACCAGCAGCACAAGCGGAGGCTGTGCTGGCACAGGCACCCAGGGAGGGTAATCCGTGTCAGTTCCATCTACTTCTGGTAAACAGAGTGGTTCCCTTGCATAGTTTTCCCTCCTGATTAGGTTCGCCTCATTTGATGATGACGTGAGTTCACATGAGCACATTCATTTTAACTGAACACCAGGGAGACCCTGTGATGTGGAACCAAGACCCTGAACCGGGGCTGGGCTCGGACTCTGTCCCTGCTTCACTGGCCCAGAACCCCTCTACTAGAGCAGCTACTCTGAGTTTTAGTTCTCTCGGTCACAATGTAAGGAGATGGGACAAAGAAATTTTGACTGCCCCTTCCAACTTTAATACTTTGAAGTTCAGTGTAGCTGGGCAGTCCACTGGTAATGATAATCATAATAATAACACAACAAAAATAATACAAGTGGCAACTAACATTTATTGAACATCTACTATGTGCCAAGCATCATGTTTTATGTGTTTTACATACATGGACTTGTTTAATCCTCACTATGACCCTTTGAGGTAGGTATGCTAAATAGCTCCATTTTCCAAATAAGGAAACTGAGGCACAAGGAGGTTAAGATTTATCCCTTCCAACCAAGGAAGTGTCCGTAAAAGCTCCTGGGTAGCACAGCATCAGAGCTGGGGACACTGAGGTCCCTAGACAGGCTCTTTCCACCCGTGATGGAGACAGGGCAGGGAGCCACCTGTTGCGTTGTTTCCCTCCCACCGGTCCTGGTTCTGCCCGGGGCCTGCTTCCCACCCAGGGTGCTGTACCTTCTTTTCTAAGTCGGGCTCCCTGAAGGTCAAGAGGAACTTGCGAACATGCTCAGACCGCAGCCTGTCAATGCTCCTGGCATCAATGGCACGGCCCAGAAATTCATCCACTTCATCCTCGGGGTTTGCACTTTCCTGGGCGTTCCTGGGGAGCAACAGGCACAGACACAAGACAGGCTGACCACCAGGGGCGCCGTTGGAGCTGCTGTGCCCGCACATCCAGACCCATCACAGAGGCCCAGCAGCAGCCACCCAAGATCAGCCCTAACAAGGGGTAGGGAAGCTGAGACTGAGACCAGGGCAGCCAGAAGCCCAAGCCCCAATCTTAACAGCTGCACACATGCATAGAAAACGGCCAAAGTCTCAGCTCCGCTGGCCAGAGGGCCTCACTCACGATTAGGCTTTTCTGACCTTCTACTGATTGATATATGGACTATTATATCATAATAATGCTACTATGAATTATGACCAAAGGTTTAATAATTTCTCCCCCTCACGGGTAACAGTCTCTGCTCTTCATTCTCCAGCTATACCGTCATCCAGAAAGGAAAGCTGAGATTGGCAGGCGCGGCTTCTGCCGCAGGGGCGGTGAGCCTCCTGGGTGCTTTAACCTGCCTCAGGCACCCTCTGGGAAGCAGGTTTCATGATGCTTGGGTGCCGAACTAAAATCCCTATTCCTCAGAGTAAAGCCTAGTCCTTGAGTGGGGTTACTGACAGTCCCTGAAAACTGGGAAGTGGAGGAGAAAGCGGAGGTACTGACACCACTGGGCAAGGTCTGCACTTTGCTGAGAGCTGCACGTGTGTGCGCGCGCACACGCGTGCACATGCATATGCAAAATGTGCGTGTGTGCAGCTGTGTGGACACACGTGTGTGTGCGCGTGCAGTGGAGATGATAAATGGGCAGTGCTGTCTCTGCAGGACAGCTTGGGTTCCCAGGCTGCTCGTCTCTAGCTGTCGTGGGCTCTAGACACTCTCAGCCGAGACTGTGTGGGTTCCTTCTCCATGGAGCTATCGTGCAGATTTGGGGCTATCCCCGAGGCTGAAGGAGCAGGAATGAAGAAGGGCGCATTACTCACTTGTCCTTGGGGTCTTCGAAACCCTGAAAGAGAGGAACACGGAGAGGAGGAGTATGAGAACAGATAGGACTGAACACGGAGGCTTCAAGAAATGGGGCTGCGGGAAGGTTGCTGCTCATTTCTCTCTACACTTCACCAGGGAGCCTGTGTTTGACTACCGGGACAGGTGGGTTCCTCACTTCCTGGGTCCCCAACCAGCTTTAGAGAGGATTGTCACTTAGTAGTCCTTCCTCCCTTCCTTCCTCCCTTCCTTCCTCCTTCCTTCCTCCCTTCTTTTCTTCCTCCCTTCCTTCCTTTGGTGAATACAGCTGGCTTTCACCTATGGGACAGGCTCTGTGCTAGGCACTGGGGGCATGCTGTGAATTCATTTTACCCACTGGCAAAAGTCCATGAGTCTAAGCTCTTCTTGTTCCCATACACAATTCCTTGTCATATTCCCCAAAACATCCCCTCCCCACCTCCTGGATCTAGGGCCTGGTGGTTCCCCTCCCAATTCTGCCACTTACTCAGATGGAGATAAGAGAAACTGCTAAGCTGATCAAGCCCCACACGTGTGCACACCCACTCATACACTCACCCCCAGGCCCACTGTACACACATAAAATCTCCTGCGAGTTCACAAGTTTGGAGCTTAAGAAAATTAAACTCTAGTTACCTGCAATTGTTTTTCTGGTATCTGAGAACCAATGTGTTCTTATAAGGCCAGAGCGAGCTGGGGACCCAGGAAGTGAGAAACCCCCCTGCCTTGGGTTTGAACGGTTCTGATGCTCACATCCACAGGGCAGGGGTGAGAGTGGGAAGGCCTCTTACTGATTGCTAAATCCGAGCCCTATTTAAAATTCATCTATAAAGTACAGAGAAGGACAGCTGTGGTCAGAGTCTGACCAGTTGGGGTGGAAAGAAGGGAGGGTTCCTTAAAATGGGAAGGGGGTGGAATCCAGGAGGTGACAGGCAACCCCGGGACAGGCAGTTTCAGGTGAGGCTCAGGTGGCCAGGACGAGGCCAGAGAATGACCTCTCATCTCCGTGGCCCAGCAGGGCACACACTGCTGGGCAAACAGGGAGGCCAGCAAATGCTGAGTAAACTCAAACCCCAAATGAACACACACCTCTCTTCATTCCCGCTGAGGACACGGCTTGAAAATACAAAAAGCAGGATTTATGTTAGTCTCCATGACTCAGAGCTGCTGGGCACTAGGCAGCTCTGTTTGTTTTACCCCCCAGCTAAGAGCTCCCAGGGGGCCTCAGCAGACTCTAGTGGACATCCAAGTACCCAACTCTGGGCTCTGAGCTTCCTCCAAGGCTGCCTGGCAGTTGTCTCCTTGTCCTCTAAGAATTGCCAGGCCTTCTGTCTAGCCTGCAAGACCCAGCCCACTTTACTGTCCCCACCCTGGGCTGGAAAAGTTGGTGTCACTCAAGTGAGAGCTCAGTCTGAGGCAGGCTCATACCCGGACACACTGGGAATGGTCTCTGAGTGACTGAACCAAAGGGTGTTTGTTAACTGCCTGAGAAATACAGCAGGTGCTGGAAGGACATCTGATACGATGGTGCCCACCCAAATCCCAGGGACCTCACCAGACAGGGCCAAGAGACCACTGGAGGGGCTGGCTAGAGTCCAGCCAGAAGGGGCTGCTTCCAACCTGGGCCAGCAAGTTCTGACAAGGCGGGGAGGGGGGAAGACGGGGCAACACTGCTCTGTCCCAAAGCCAAATTCGGCACGCCAAGAGACAATGGGGCTTGTAGAGAGAGCCTGGGGCCAGAAGTCAAGTGCTCGGGCTCCTCCCCCAAAGTGGAGTGAGCCCCACGTCCAGTGTCTCCTCCTGTGGCTCTTCAGATTCCCTCGGGCAAGATGAGGAGCCTCACACCCACAGAAGGCCCACCCTGGAGAGCGGTGCCCGCACACTGCCCCCCAAGTCACTCACCATCCGCTTCATCTCCTTGGACACCTGGTTGCCACCCAGGTGGTTGTAGAAGGGGCGCTCAGCCCCCCAGTGCGGCGGGTTGTGCCCGATGGAGTTGGTTCTCTGGCGGTTCATCTTGGCAATCATGGCCTTCTCGTCTTTCTGGGAGAGCAACACAGATGCATCAGCCCCCCCGGCAGGGCCCCCCCCCGATGCGCCTCCGCGTGGACTTTCTCATTCCCCCCCAGGTGCCTGGCCAGGTGCCCAGTGCATAAGGCATCTCCCCCTCTCTTCTCTGCACAGCCTGGAGCCCAGAGTTCTGCCAGGATCCTAGAACTCATCCAAGAAAGCATCCTAATCCCTCCAAACCCCAATGCCACCCCGGGGCTGGCCCAGGTGAGAGCAGCAGAACAAGACAGGGAGCAAGGTTGGTTTCGTGAGAAAGGAAACGGGACTGGGGTATCGGTGTTTCACATGGAATTCTCAGGAGTGGGTAGAGCCTGGGTCTGCAAGTACCCGGGATGGGGGGTGGGGGGAGCCTGGGATTCCAATCTCCACTCAACATACCAAAAATAGGCATGTCCTGGCCTTTTTTGAGTGTTTTGAGCCTTGCCTCTGCTCAGGGCCTGTTCCAAACTCTTTGGCGTGTACTTTCTTTTCTAATAATGGCCCTTGAGCCATTCTTTACTACTGTTCGGGCCTACTTCTGTTCCTTTCAAATGTATTTTTTTCTTCTAATAAACTCCTTTTCTGCAACTTAAAAAAAAAGAAAAAAAGGCATGTCCTAGCAGAGTGGGCAGTAGGACAGGCCCTGCTGCCCAGAAGGCAGCTTCCAGAGGTTTGGGTCATTAGAGCATGAGATTCAAGGGCTGACATACATTGTACAAATACGCAAACAGGGCCTCAGCCAGACACCCATGTGCCAACCACGATCTCTTCTTTCCATTTGTCTGCCCATCCATCCAAATGGGCTGATTGGAGGGTTGGAGAGGCCCTTAAGAAGTTTGAGGCGGGCCGGCCGAGTGGCGCATTGGTTAAGAGCTGGCTTGGAATGCCAGAGGGCCCTGGTTTGGATCCCACATATGAGGGCCAGTGACACTGC